GGGGGGGAGAGCGGGGCGGGGAGGCGATTAGCGGCCGCACGAACGCGCAGCTGCCCCGCGGGAGGCGGTGCCGCCGCGACCTCCCCTCACGGCTTCCCCTCCGAACGTGGGGGGAAATGCAAGCGCCGAGAGAAAGGCAGCAAGTCTATATTTAAACAGCGGGGGGTGGGGGGGAATATTCCCGAGGCCTCCCACGAACCCTGGGCCGTTCTGCTCCGCTGGCCAGGCACAAAGCTCCACGGGGCCTGCACCCAAGTGCGCAGAGGCACAAAGCTGCCCGGATCCAGGTCAATCCCATTGACCTGGGACAAGCAGGAGACGCACGCGGAGGTGCCGAGGGAAGGTGCCCTGGGCACTGCGGTCCTGAGGATGGGAAGGCCACGTTTGGGTGCCCAGTCTGGCAGCCCCAGCTCCCTTCACCATAAGCCCTCGTGTGTGGAGGAGTCTCAAAACTGAAAGCCGCAGCTATTTCCCTGTTTCTTTTTTTAAGCTGACATCTCTTCACACCATAAAACGTAGCATTTTACACAACATATTAGAAAATTTATAGGGCCTAACGTCAATTTTACAAGCAAAAAAACCTCCTGAAATACTAATCCACAGGTGTGTTCAAGGATAATATAAATAAACAAAATATGTGGGCATCTTATTTACACTTTTCACGGACGGGACCAGGGCAAGTTATCAATGTGAGTGGCAAAAGCCCCGGCTGCTTCTTACCCGCGCTCCTGACTGAGGAGGAGTGCTACAGGCATCCTCTTCAAGGAGGGACTTTCTAGTTGTAAAACAAGGCTATAGAAGTGAAAAAGATAAGCAAAGAAGTATCAAAATATCACACCAAGATTTTTTGTTTTCTTTTTTTTTTAAAACTTAGGTTTAGAAATTATCAACTATTTTACATTCTGAAGATAAGACATTTTCAAAAGAAGCCTGGCCTTTCCTTGATGATAAGATAAAAAGATAAAAAAAATAAAAAAAACACATATACCACAGTAACACATAGGAATCACTTCAGTTCTATTTGTTACTGCAAAAAATATGACACATGTTCATTCTCCTCTTTCAAATTATCAATCTTTCAGCCCAAAAAAGCCCAAAGTACTGAATGCCTTTCTGGCACAAGTTAAATCTCCCAAACTTCCAGTTTAAAGAAAGAGGAGGGAGTGGGTAAAAAGCGCTCCATCCAAACATTTGCAACACTTTATAAATACAGTTCTTCAAGGTCCTATCTGAGGACCATTCATGTAAAATAATCTGTCCCAGGTGATGTCAAGCAGATAACAACGTTTGCTGAGGTAACCAACAGTTGCCAGACAATGGAGAATGCTAAAGAACATTTTGGTTATGGAATATCAGGAATATCAGCAAACGTATAACATAGTTGTTAAACACAGATATCAGAGAGAATACAGAAAAGTATCTCTTCCAAGAGAAATCAACATATCAATATACTAACTGCATGAAGAAGCACTGTACATTTTCACAGAATGCATTTTGCAAAACAAACCAACTTTCAGACTATGCTATTAATAATCTGAAAAGCCTAAGCCCCTCTGCTAAGAAACTGCCTTGGAGGCAAAATTCTAGGCAAGCTTTTCTACAGTAACTGTGACTTAGGTTGCTCAATTTTAGCCTGTTTTTAAAGGCTGCTGAATATCAGCATCAGGCCTTTGAAGGCAGTAGGAAAAAAAAGGGTCTATTAAAGCATTTGGATGTTGTATTAAGACATTGGAGTTTTGTTTTAATTCTGCTTTAGGAACTGATCTTGTTCCACAGGGAAGCCATCAGAGAAAAAAACCTTATGAAATCAAGGGTTAAGAAATCTGCATACAGATATAAAAGGGCAAACAAGGAAGTTTAATCACATTCATTTTGCTAAAAGAAAAAGAAAAAAAAAAAAAAAAAAACACACACACACACACTCCTAAACCAAGTCTGCCCTCAAAGAGCATGGGGGTTTTGGCAAAGCCACAAATGCCTTTACTGAGGCTATTGCAGAGTAGACATAAAAAATAAAAATGTCTCATGACAGTTCTAACATTTTTTTAAAGAGTCACTGGACAGTCTTCTGCTTAACTCATTTGCTTGTCCATATTTATATCCAAAATATAGCAAAGATGCTCTTTGGTCTCTAAATATATCATCCCTTTCTGCTAGCAATCCCTTGCTCTGCTCAATGCTCCTCTCCTGTTTTCTTCTCTAGTGCACAGTCTTCTCCTCAACTCCCCTTGAAAGAGAGGTAAAGGAGAACAAGGATGGAGCACGTAAAACCTCTCTGAGGAGGACAGGGACACTCCATCATCTCCCTGGTGGTACCAAAATTGCTCTCTTACCTATCACCACTCTGACAGATAAAACTGGAAGATAAATGACATTTTAGTTTTTGAGCAATGTTCAATTTCAGTCCTCTGACAGATGTATGTCAGCACAACTGAGAAACAACATCATCTCCATGACCTCATTTGACTCTTGATGACACGGACAAACTCAAATTCCACGCTCTAAGTGAGAAGTAGACCGTTCCTTTCCGGAAGAAAAAGGCTTACCTAGGAAAATGTTCCTAGGCTACCTTGGAAAATGTTCCTAACAGAACAGATACAAAAAAACATGCAAAGCAAAGTATCACTAACATCTCCTGCTTGGAAAGCTAAGTTCTCTTGTGATGTTGCCATAAATCAAGTGTAAAATTCAGGTTTGTAAAGTTAAGTCTTCATTTTCAACTTCTAGTGGAACCTCCTTAGAAATCTCTTGTTGAATAACGCTCTGCTGTAAGAATACTTGAGAACTGAAAGATTATGATGCAGAAAAGTTCAATCTTTCCAGGTTCAGTCTGATGCAGCTGTTAGTTAGGGAGCAGAGAAAATAGGGAGAGTTACATTCACACTGTAAAAATACACAGAAAAATTCCCTCTGTACTGCTTGAACTGACCACAGGAAGCTGCCAGTGTCCCAGTGTAAGCTTAACTCCAGAGCACAAGCTATTTTGAATGTCTCTACGAGACTCTTCTGGCATGAATTCTACCTGCTACTGAAGTTGCTGTTTTGCATTCCCCATTTGGTGAGCTTTAACATGCATCTAAGATCATAAATCATGAAAAAAAATAGAGTTTTAGAAAAACATTTAACTTCTGGGCTACAGCCACCTAATCCCTGGAGTTATTTTTAAGGTTTCAGTGGTTGTTTCATGTACGCTTACCAAAATACTCACCTCTCAAAAAGCAGTACCCAAGGGACTAGCTTTTTAAGTCTCTGGGACAGCTGAAGCTGACAGAATTCACTGCTTTTTATACTACATCTCAACCTATCACCAGTGGAGAAACAGAGTAGGGAGAGTGTGCTAATGAAATTCCCAATTGTTCAAAGGATGCTCTGGTGCCACGCACCAGAGCATACAGCTTCTTAAGTGTACACAGAGTTAGAAGGACCACTGTGAGGTTTATTTTTCTTATTCTGTAAATAAAGACTATCTTTTTTAAACTCCTAGAGGTTGCGTTAATTTGCAGGCATAAACAGCACAGCAGATTTTCTTGTGGGTGGACTAACTCCTCATCCTCTCCCACTTCCTTCCAAGCACTTCTGGGAGGGCTTATCATAGAGGAACACAAAGCCAGCACAGTGACATCTGAGCATGGTTTCTAATTACTCCTTCCTTAGGGTGCCAATGCCAAACTTCTACCTCTTCAGCTTCTCAGAAGAGAAGCTATTGCTACTGCCAGGATTCATTTGAGAGGTCCCTTCTCAATTTTAAAGCTCATACCCTGCAAAAATCTGTTTCATGGGGATCCTGAAAAAAAAAAAAAAAAAAAAAAGAGAACAACCTCAACTCCAGCCATGCTGCTCCATGTTTTACTGCAAAGTAAGAGCCCGAATTTTGCTCAACAGGCTCAGCACTGTTTCATTCGTACTGTGTTTCTCCTCAGATTTCTCAGATGTTCTCAGATGGTAGTTCTCAGAACTACCCAGCATGGTCACAAGGATGTCGAGGAGATCTGAAAGGGGTAGTGGTGAGGACACAACCTCCTGTTACCATCCTACAGAAATGCATTCTGCAACAAGGATTGATTTTTGGTCTGGGGGAGGCACCCATGACCTTCCAGATGCTCCTTAAAACCCTTCTTCATTAATTCAAAGGTAAACAAGGAATAATTAGTCACATCTTCTGAAAGAGGGGGATAGAAATCTGAAGCTCATGATGGCTCCATGAGTCTCTGCATTCTGGACACTTCATTCCCTCCTTGTATTTAACACAGAGAAGCTGATAAAGAGTTAGAACAAGAACCTAAAATTTTGCACTAAGATGTTTACAACTAGGAGATCTATTTCTGTATCCCCTCAAGAGGAAGCATTTTTAAAGACTCCTACATATTACATAAAACCCAAACATAGTATTAGTGACTCCTCATCTTTCTCAATCAGTAAATGCAACTACAAACTGAATAAAAATCCATTAAAAATGCTCAAAAACAATGCTGTGTTATTCTATTTATATTTTAAAAAATATTGCTGGAGAAGTTGGCCTAACTTCAATATGTTAAAGTAAACTTATAGGCCTAGATATGAAGAGTAATCTGACTTTGAAGTTTCATAGTGCTGTAGAATCATCAATAAGCCAGTGCTGACACCCTTCAAGTCTCTTCCAAGAGAAGAGGAAATTAAAAATTCATTTTTACATAATGCCTTTTCAATTACAGTTTTATAACACAAGCTATATTAACCAAAGGAAATTGTATGCCTAATCAAGCAAAAAAATAAGTCAGTTTCAAAACAAGATACTGCAAAGAGACAAGAAGCCTCCTGCCCCTATCAAAGGCTGTAGTTTCAATTGGAAAGGGTTCAATAACAAATTTGGACAAGCTGGGTTTGATGTTGGGGTTTGACAGACCCCCATCCTGTAC